GGCATATATTTGGGAATTTCTTAATCGCTGTGAATATAGTGTGGATGCTGGTTCAGTTCCTGAACAACGAAAAATATTCAACTTTATGGATGTATGGATATCAAAAGACCTGAATGGTTTTGTGGGAATATCAATCTAAGATGCCATAAAGTTTCTGATGAACGGCAAGTAAATTCATCACGTAGGTGCTTGGCTATCTGCAAGAGGTTTATAGGAAAAAAAACACGGGAGGTGATGTTAAATCAGTAAAATTGCATATCAATTGAGAAAATAATATAACATGAATAAAAAATCAACAATAGTAATTAAATCATGAATTTAAGTCTAAAATCAAACATTTCTTTAAATTATGACTGAATTATATGTAATTTCTTAATATTCAATAAGCTGATGATGTTTCAATGACCACATGTCATCTCATACTTTGACAGTATTTTGTTTTCAACATTTCATAGCTATTGGTTGCTAAACTTTGTTGATTGGAACTTGAAGCTCATTCGTTGTATTTAACGGACTGTTACCCTATAGATGGAGAATAACGGACTGTTTATTTGACAACCTTGGTTAAACCCTCCCTAAAAAAACTAAAAAAAACACGCTTTTATAGCTAACTGAACTAAAAAGTAGAAAATAATGTTTAATTACAAAGAGTTTATATTACATTACTAGACGGTCGATCAACCAATCATAGATGATGACCTCAAAATAAAATTATAATAAAATTTCAGTTATTAACAGAATAATTCAATTCAGAGTAAAAAGCGTGGGGTGCTTGATATATTAAATGTTGTAATCATTCTATTGGCAACTATCTATGAGAGGTCAGTTATGAAACTGTAGTAAAATGCTCCCAAAGCTTTTTACTCTGATATGAATTATTCTGTTAATAACCTAAATTTTATTATAATTTTATTTTGACATCATTAATTATAATTGATTGTTCGACAAACTACTACTGTAATATAAACTCTTTGTAATCAAACATTATGTTCTACTCTGTAGTTCAGTTAGCTATAAAAGTGTATTTTTTTAATCTATTATTTATTCTTAATTTTTTTGTCCGATTTATAAATTATTTTTTTGTGGACTTGTGGTACTGAAATGTCTTACGAATCGTTTCGTAATCTAATCATTTCATTTAAAGCTTCACTGTTTCTTGGGGTTTTTCCTGTTGACTTAGAGCAATCAGAATATCGTCTAAAGATCTTACACGACTAAGGCCCCATTTCACCAACATTAATATTATGGACCAATGGGAAAATACCTTATCGAAGTGCAATTTGACAGAAGCTGTCAAATGTCTCTGAATATCAGTGATTTCTATTAAAATATTGAATAAAATCGTGAAAATTCGACTGTATTATCAACAAGACCACTTTTTGATTCCAACATGATGCTTTTGTACAGAAAAAACAGGACAACTTTCATGTATTTTGATATATGTTATAGGTTTACATTTTACAATCCGTTATCCCCTCAGTGAATGGGAATGGGAGAAATAATAGGTCGATTTTCTAGCTATTAGATTTGCCAGCAAGTTTGGACGTTTGTTAGTTCATGGCAATCTCGAATTTGTCAAGCTCAATACACATTGAGTGTTATCGTACATACCTGTTGAATAGTGTGGATTTGTCTGTATTTTGCAAGAAAATAGAATATAAAATACATTCCATCCAATTCCTCATCTTTCTTTACATCATAATAGTAATCATTTATTAATTTATGGGTGAATGAATTTCTTCAAAGCAATAAAAACATCCTAAAACACAGATAATATGTGTAAGACGTGTCAATCCCTACATCCCCCTGATGCGTAATACAATTACTATGGACTTGGACAAAAAATTATGAAAAATGTCTCACAAATAATGTCTTTTAAGTCCAAAAATCATAAAACCTAGTAATGTTTATTGTTTGATTGTCTTTTTGACTGGCGGGGATATCTATCTGTCATTCGCAGTGTTGCCAAGTCTAACGACGATCACGTCCCGTGGTGGAGGGTGCGACATAAATCTTTTACATTTGCTGGTTTTGAATTTAAAGTAGGAACACAAACATAGTACTTATGATCGTTGGAGCTAGACTGATAACACATCTTGAAGAATATTTGAAAAGTGTAAACACCATCATGGTCTGTTGTCAAATTGCAAATGAAGTATCTGAAAACTCTTGCATACAGTGGACCTTAATCATAGTTTACTATCCTGATTATGATCATCTTTGGCAAATGTGTTGTATCATCAAATTGATGAACCAATATAAGAAAGCTCTTATATACCTACATACAGCGGATTTTTCATGAAAATTTACTAGGTATAAAAAAGGCGAACTTTAATGGAATTACCAATGTAGCCAAAAATGCTGGAAATAGCCAGCGGACAAGTGGAGAAAAAATGCAGAGAATCGCTAAGTCTGGCAACAGTGTTTTTTTGTCCATATGTGACGTGACTCAGTCGCGACTAGGATAGTGATGGGACATTTTATTTATACTGATCGGTGCACGAAAATAACTGAATGACTCAGCACACTGCAAGTGGGGAAAGTGATTTTTCTTAAGTACCAGAAGGAACTAAGGAACAGTCAAATAAGAATTCCATCTGACACGCATGAAACATCTGTCGAAATCAGGTTTAAGTTTTGTATGAAAATGTTTTATTGACATCGATGAATTTCTAGAGCATCCAAAGGTCTGAAAAATCTTTGAAAGATTTGAAAGTCTCCAGAAAATATATAAACGTAGCCAACAGTCAAGCGAGTCAAAAATCTTTCGGAAGCAAGAATCGAGAACCACAGGCTACAGGGGCGCGGGGGAAAGTGGAAATTCTCTGACGTGTGAGGCAACTTGAAGTGAGATGAGATTATAACTGAGAAAGTGGCCAAAATAGAAGCTACTGAAATCAGCCTTGTGTGGTCTAAACTGTTAAATATTACCAAGCTATTCAACTGCGTTTTCTTTCAATGAAGCGAGTGTTGGACTGGTGCATATTCCAAATTCTTATAATAAAACCAATTTATATATTCATGTTTTTTTGTTGCGTATTTTGAACTAGTGCTTCACTCAGTGTAGAAACATACAGAACTTGAAGCAACTCGGGCTGGTGTTGTCGACTGTCTGCCTCGATTTCTTTAAATACAGCCGTGCTATTTGCTCGTGGTTTACTATCATTCTTTTCGATGATTCATCATAGTAACACGGAAAGGACAAAGAAACGAAAAATATGCTTCATTGACAGATTACTGCACGCGACACGACATGAGAGTTGTCTAATGTTGTTTTGGGAGCAACTTCAGGATCAAACGTATTAATTAAGGTTGAGTATTTTAAACACAAAAGCTGCGCTAATTTTATCAGAAGAAAACACTATATCTCTGAGCCACAGAAGCAAAGCGAATCTCAGGATTTCGATTCTCTCATCACTAGTGCGATGAAATGACAATTTATCCCTCGTTGGATTACTTGAAATACTGATGTGGTTTCTAGTTCTTTGCATTAAGTTGCATTCAGTTCTAGGAACTGGTTCGTGAACAACCTACTTTATGCAACAATACCACAAAAAATATATGTACCGAAAGAGAGCAGATATTCCAGTCTGCCAGTCGAGATAACGTAAAAGCGATTCAATTCATATCTTTTAGCCGTTCCAATGCATTCCACTGATTGCAAATGTATCCTCCCAGCACTAACATTGTGAGACACTAATTTCAAATGTCAATTGTTCTTTGGTCTATTTTCCAACGTTACTGCAGTCTATGTTTTGTGGTCACTTGTCACTTGTTGTTTTGAGCTTGTTGTGTTATTTCTAAAAAATGGATTTTCGGAATAAAAACAAGATCTTTCTTGTGCAGAATTACATATTACACTGTCGTGTACAGTTAAATCTGCACTAACCCCGAAATACGTGGTTATGTTGAGTGTACCATGTACCATCACCGATTGTGCGACTGATACACTGAAATTAAAATGAAAAAACTGCAACTGCAATTGAATGTATGAATAAAATCTTGAACAGTTTCGGACCAGTGGTGTCAAAATGTCGTTGAGGAATAGGAAAGAAGTGTATGAATATGTTGAAACGCAACACCTAACAAAAATTTGAGTGAAAAGGCTTTTCCATGTAAGAATTTGGAAGTTCAAGTTTGCAAAGGTAGGATAAACTATGAACACCCAGTAGGTGATGTTGAGTTAATATAATCACATATGGATTACAAAAGTTGCAATAAACATGGAGAAACCTTCAGCTAAACTGAAAAAAATGGATTTTACCAGCCATCAAGCATTTTTTTTTAATTTTGGCTCAGTTTTATATAATTTCATATTTAATAAACTGAAAACATTTCAATGGCAAGCTGTGACTTCATATTTTACAGTGTTTTGTTTTGAATACTTTGATGCTATTTGCTGCCAAAAATTTGACGGATAGATCTTGAGGCTGATTGGGTATATTTGACGGACTGTTTAGTACTCGTATTCTATTGGTGCAGAATAATGGTTTTTTAAATGGTGAAATCGGCCCCAAGTGCTACATAAGCTTGTCCAGCAGCAAACAGTCGCGAGCCTAGGTAAATGACTGCATGTTCGACTGTACAACCTTGCATTTTGTGGACGGTCGAAGCCCAACTCAGGATTAATGGCAACATTCGCAATGAACAAGGTGAGAATGCACTACCTTGAAAAAGTATCTACCTCCGTTGTGCTGTGCCGAGAGCCCAAATCAACAAAGAGTAATTCCAAAACTGCACGCGTGCGCAGAACGCGCGCTAGCTCTATTTTTCTTACTCCCGTACAGAGGATCTATGAAATAATTTATCAATCCTGGCGGTCGTAATACAGAGAATGGAAAACTGATATCAAATTATTGCATTGTCATCGGTCCTTGATAATTGTGAAAAGTTTCGATTTGATCAAACTTCTGGAAATTTTTGAAAATTATGCTCAAAGATTCCGTTACATACATACATACATACAGGCCAATCTAATAAAAGCGTGTTAAAAAAAAGTATTCCACAATCTGGGGATTGAACTCACGACCCCTGGTTTAGAAGACCAGCGCTCTACCACTGAGCTACAGAGGCTTGTAGTTTCGCTATTCGGAAGGCGGCATTTGAAATCCGTTGCTTTTTCTTAACAGAACCTTATGAATAAGGATAATGGAAAACTGTTATCAAATTATTGCATTGTCATCGGTCCTTGATACGTGTGCGAAGTTTCAAATTATCAAACTTCTGGAAATTGGTGAAAATTATGCTCAAAGATTCCGTTACATACATACATACAGGCCAAGCTAATAAAAGCGTGTTAAATAAACGTTTTGCTCTCTACAGTGTAATTCATCACTAGTTGACAACATGAACATCCATTTTCAAAAAGAAAAGCCCTCTAAGTTTTATAATATTATGGAAGGCCTCTTCAAAGGATGAAGTTTGATATAGCATACTGTATGGTCATGACTTGAAACTCGTCAGTTGAACCTTTTTGTAAACCCTTTTTCGATATAAAATTATTATGCAGTTGAATTCCTAAATTTTTGAGTTACTTGCTATTTTTTCAGAAATTATGCATGAAAATACATAAATACCGCATCTTTCATAAAAAAATAATGAAGAACCTTACTGGGATCCAATTTTTCTTAAATACTCGTACACTATCTACTTTGAAGAAATTTGGACTTTCTTTCTCAAACACGCTCCAACACTCGTGTGTCCTGGCATTTGCTAATAGTATGTACCCCTACTTGATCGCGACAAAATGAGCCGCTTTTGAAAAAAAAACAGCCTCGTCTGAATACAGGTTTTAATTATGATGATGGATCAAATATACTTAGTGTAATTATGGAAATGTACTAATCAGCCTAGTAATCAGCAATTCAAAAAGCCTTAAAACCAGATTTTTTCTGCTAAACGTTCAACCTTTCCAAACATTATTTTTGACCCATTATTATAGATGTTGTGATAAATAACAATATTGCCAATCTAAATGAACTAACATTTTTCGTTTGAAAACATATGACATTACTTTTTGTGTCCTTGCGCGAAGCTGGCCGCTTATTATGGGACACCCTGTAGATTTGAAAACAATTTACGGAAAAAGAATCAGTTTTCAATGGCAAATAACACTGAATAATAATAAATCTTTACGATTGATTACTAGGTTTCATACAGTATGTAGGTCACAAAATTCTAGAATACGAACTTCTAAAGCCAGGACGGTTGTCACTGTAATCAAAAATTAGCGCGAATTTTTAGTAAACTTAAAATTACTCTCTAACAAAACCGAATCAAACTTTGTTTAGTTCACCTCAAAATTAATCCGTGTACCAAGTCAAAAAGCCCAGGAGTTTCCTCTTAAACTAAACACTTCAGTGTTTTTTTTGCTCGTCTCCTTTATTCTTCTCTTTCCTTTTCTCTTTTTCCTAGTGATTGTCTGGTCTCTGGGCAACCAGGACTGACAGATTCGGCTAACGTACGTTAGTGACTAATGGGCAAAGGTCCTACGGACCGCCCAGACAAACAAATGAAGAATAATACGAACTTCTAACCACGACGAAAATGAAAAGCCTTTCCGTCTTCCAAATCATGTGAGGTAGTAAACCAACTAAGAGTGTTATTCATCATGTTACAGGTGCTAGATAACTTTCACTCAACCGATGTAGTACCACACTGCATGTTTTTATCGAATATATCGTGGTTTTAGAAATAGATTACAGAAAGCGGGTGAATGTTGACTTCAAAAGTATGAATTTATGTATTTTTATATCAACAACAGATGAATATCCCTTCTAAAAAGTTAATTCACTATACCAAAGTCGCTTTTGTGTTTTGTGCCGAAATTTCCGAGAATGCAGAGGATTTTTAAGCATCCGTCACAAATCCTTTCAGTACTAGGGTTATGACTATTCCGAGCTTGCGTATTTTAATGCTATATAACCCAGAAACTTATTTCTGTCAGTCTCTCTGACTGTCGTTCTTTTAGGGCCGTATTGTCAGTCGTTCCTACAATTGAAGGACGCCTTTATGGCCTCCTTGATTGTCACAATCCTTTCTCTCCTTCAAAAATTTCTAGATTGCACCTGTTCCGTATCAGTGTGAAGTTATGTTTTCTTTTTAAATTTTAGGAATTTTCAGGCTGATAAGACATGATATAAATCAAAATCATGAACAATTTGATGCAAATAGATATTTGTGACAAAACCTCAAAATAGAGCGCTGAAATGGAAAAGTAGAAAAACATGAAACTCCACAATTGTAGGAACGACTGGCGATACGGCCCTTAGTCACGCAATCTTAGCAACAGCTACATCGATATTGCTGAAATTTGTTTGTTTCTATGTGAATTTATTACCCTCATACCTTCTATTACTAAGATATCATCTCAACATGCATAACTTTGTATACTAAGCTTTTCAACATTTTATAACGTCATCGATAGATATGTGTCAACATTGTCTTTCACGAGTATCTTACCATGTTTACCTAATGGTAGATAGATGGTAGATATCTCTAAAATGACTTTCAAATTATTCTGATTACAACAGTTATCCAATTTTCAATTCATTGTTTCCCTGTCCCATTTATTAGTGGAAAATATGATAAAAATAATACATACTGCTTTCGTCTGTTCGGTCTACCCTATGCAGCTGTTTCATGCTTGTTGGCAATCATCGGCACGATCTAGGTGGAACAAGGACCGAAAGCAGAGAAAAACTGAACTTTATTAACGGTAGAAACTACCGGCAGTGCCAGTGTGTATACCATACTCGCCAAAGTCGGCTGCATCTAGTGGTCATAGTATTATATATAACCTCTATATTAATGCGAAATGATATACCGTTTCAACAAATAGTTGCTATTCACTCTGCTTTTTCGATTCTGGTAATAGATGGCATTTGTGCTGTCGCATTTCGATAACTGAATGACGTGTGAATGCTGAGCATAACAAAAGATACTACTACATAGAGGGACAGGCATTCGGTAGCATTTTCTTGGCAGTGGTGTAGAAAAAAAAACGTATTTAAGGAGGCAAGAACTTCTAGAAATATTTAACCTTAATTTAAACGTATGGTCCGCCCTATAAAATGTTAACGGTATACTGGAAATGGGATAGCTGCGCTCATGGGTACTCGCCACTTGGCCTCACAGTCACGATGATCGTCGAGCTTTGATAAGAGCTTCGCCGCTGCCTCATGGCTGAAAAACCAGCGACGGTTCCAAGGCACTACCCCGCCCCGGCTCCTCCCGCCCCACCAAGTTGCGTTTCCTCAGCATCTGGATCGAATGGTCACGACGGGCACGCGATGCGCTCTAGCAACGCTCTCTCACCATTATTTTGCTGCAAGTTCCTGCCATACCGACCTGTCATTCCGCCAGTACCGACGCCTAACCAATATTCTACCAGAGAATCTCCTTAGGCTAGATTTACACTCGGATGTTATATCTGCCACCTAGTTCATAACAGCATGAAACATTATTAAATGACATTCTTTGATGAGGTATCTGCACTTTTTACTTCCCGTGGACCAAGCAAATTACAGCACTGCTATGGTGGATGATCTCATGTGTGGAGATGCTTATGTTTGCACTTTCCAATTCCCTTGTTCTAGCATAGTTTATAAATAGGAGGTACTTGTGTGACCAGTATCCATTCGTCTTCTGTTAAATAAAGTCGCTTTTTTAAAAAGTAGTTCGTTGTTTGCATATTCATAATCGCCTAAGAAGAAAATTATCAGAGGCTAGTGTCCAAAATTGGACCACCATTTTGTTATTCATTTAAAAAATATGAAATGTAGCTTAAAGCATGTATAAACGTGTGTGACATTTTATATGTAATGTTCAAGTATTATTTACTGTACACCTTCACAAATCAGCTGTTCTTATATATTAAGTCGTATGTGAGTGTCTTTTTTCTTCGCGAATATAGTTTTCATGGATTGAGGAAACCGGGCAACACAAAGTCATCAAAAATTTAACAGATAGAAGAAATGATATAATAGCTGAAAAAGCACATTTTTTACTTTTTCGTCGTAATTACACCGGTTGATGTGCATACGTATACCTATTACAATGACATTGCCATAGACGCAATAAACCAATATAGAAAAGGTCTATTCATCTAAATATGAATCAAATCTTATAATACATGTCAGTGATATTTCAGAAACAATATAAATGAAATATTCCTTATCCCTCGTTTCAGTAATATCTCTTTAACATAAATTGCGAAATATTTCAAAATCAATATTTCTGAAAGATGTACCTACGAAATGCCGATTTTGGAAAGTAATATTGGAAAAGATATATAATATACCAGAAATATCTCTGAAAACTAATGTGCTGTGTGGGTTCTTCCTCGCCTCTTACAACCGTTGGTCTCCAATTTTTTATTCCGGCGAAAATGTTTCGTAAAATCATTAGGAGATTCTGCAACGTTAAAAAATGAAGTTGGAGCGATTTTTTCCGTTTTTTGCCTGTAGCTCCTCCGCCACTGGATCGATTTTCAAAAACTGAAATGAGAAATTTTAACTGTTCCTTTATGAACGTCTAAAAAAGTTTTTATCCAAATTTCAAGAATTTTCTCAATCACCTAACTTGCGAGAATTTAAATAAAGTATCAAATTTATAAACGAAAGCAAAATATAGCGGTGAATATTGAGTTAATAAAACCAACGGATGTTTTATGATAAGTATATCTCGAAAAACTATGCCACTCATTTCCAGCGGTCCCTTTATTTGTCTGTCCGGCAGTCACTGCTACAACATGATAAATTTGGCTATTGTGTATTCCATACAATTGTTGCAATTGATAGAATACACTGTAATGGATAAGCTAAGCAACAGGACTCTGTCTTTCATCTTTGAAAAAGTAAAGTTGACAGTGAGGACGGACTTGCAAGCAGCTGGACAGTTAAACGAACTACATAGTCTGATCAGTTTAGGAATTAGGTCCTTAATGTAAGATAGCACAGCAAAATGAGGTCTGGAATTTAGAATAATACAATACTTAGATACAATCGCTAATAATAACGCGAATTCTGAAGATAGTACAGCCACCATACCAAATTCCCAGCAACATAGTCTTG